GAGGGGCTGCGCGGTGGGCTTCTAGTGTACATATATTTGTACCCCACCCCTCCCTTCTGCATAAGGGTAGCTTTTTTAAAAAAGATATTTTATTGATTTTTTTACAGAGAGGAAGGGAGAGGGATAGAGAGCTAGAAACATCGACAATAAAAAATATATTTTATTGATTTTTTTACAGAGAGGAAGGGAGAGGGATAGAGAGCTAGAAACATCGACAAGAGAGAAACATCGATCAGCTGCCTCCTGCACACTCCCTACTGGGGATATGCCCACAACCCAGGTGCATGCCCTTGACCGGAATCGAACCTGGGACCCCTCAGTCCGCAGGCCGACGCTCTATCTACTGAGCCACACCGGTTTGGGCTGCTTTTTTAATACACTGTTCTGTTCCCCAAATTTGAGATTTCAGAAAGAACCATTTTCAAGATGCTAAAGTAAAACCCAAGAACAAATAGTCCCAAGAACAAAAACCCCAAGAACAAATGAAGATTTTTGACTTGGGACGGACTGTGGCCAGCCCAGGGCAGGCGGGTCCTCAGAGGTAGTAATGTCTTGGGCCGTCTCTCCAAGGCCTCGCCTCGCCTCCAGGCACCAGGTGCTGGCTAAGCATGTGTCAGCATGACCTCATTTAATCCCTGGGACAATCCTGGCTCTCCCAGCAACAGGCCTACTTGCTGTGTGACCCAGAGTCACCTACCTGACCTCTGAGAGCCTCCAGCTTTCTCATCCTGGGCCACGTTTGGGGGTTTCTCTTTTGCCTCTCCCAGGGGTTTCTGTGGTTCCCTGTGTCTAGAAGGGCCCTTCTTTTGCCTCTTGTCTTCTTTCCTTTTTCTCTCCCGTCTGGTTTGTCCAAAACGTCCACCAGCCAGTTGAGACTTGTTCTTGTTTTTGCTTGGTAACCATTTTTAAATTGCAGCCTGGTGAACATACAGTACAATGCACATACCTTAGGTACAGTGGGTGTACGTCAATGTAACCAGGCCTGACCAGGTTTTAGAAAGGTCCCTCGTGCCCTCTCCCAGTTAATGTCTCCCACCCCACGGTAACCACTAACCTAACCTCTATCCCCATGGATTACTTTAGCCTAGTCTTTTTTTTTTAATATATTTTATTGATTTTTTACAGAGAGGAAGGGAGAGGGACAGAGAGCTAGAAACATCGACGAGAGAGAAACATCGATCAGCTGCCTCCTGCACACCTCCCACTGGGGATGTGCCCGCAACCAAGGTACATGCCCTTGACCGGAATCGAACCTGGGACCCTTCAGTCCGCAGGCCGACGCTCTATCCACTGAGCCAAACCAGTCAGGGCACTTTAGCCTATTCTTGAACTTCATATTAGTGGGATCATACAGATGTATACTCTTTAAAAAAATATATTATTATTATTATTATTTTTTTTTACTGATTTTAGAGGGGAAGGAAGAAGGAAAGAGAGGGGAAGGGAGAGGGAGAGAGAGAGAAACATCAATGATGAGGGAGAAGCATCGATCGGTTGCCGCCTGCACACCCCCTACTGAGGACGGAGCCTGCAGCCCCTGCCATATGCCCTGACCCGGAATCAATCCGGTGACTCTTGGTTTGTGGGTCGACGCTCAACCACTGAGCCACGCAGGCTAGTCAGGATGTGAACTCCTGTCTAGTTTCTTTCACTCAACGATGTATCGACCTAAGAAACATCCAAACCTGTAGGGAATTTTTATATTTGAGTCAAACTGACAATTGCTGAGAAGCAAAATCTCAATGGACTGAGAAAATGATCCAGAGAATGACAGTTTTACAGCTTATTTTATACATTAGAATCAAAGGTGGAGATGTAAGGGGCGCTTAACCTGAAATTCACGGGTGGTGGATTAGGGAGGCGGGAGAAAGCCCAGTGGGGAACCTCTGAGAGTGATAAAGAATGAAACGGGACGCTTGTTTACATTGTAAACATTTACAGCACATAGAGGTAGTGTGTGGGCAACAGGTCACAATGAAGGGTTCTGTGGTCCTTGCTCTGGTGCTGCAAAAAATTACAGGAAAAGGTGGTATGTTATCTCAGCTGCAGAAAGACAGCAGGCAGGCCCACTTAAGATGAAGACTGACCTGTGTCAAGGAAGCTCTAGGCCTAGGCTGTGACTGCCGCCATGACCCATTTTTCGTAGGAATTTCTGTATTCAGATCATCCTGTGGTTCCGCCATCTCTGCGTCCGCGGGCCCACAGTGCACATTCAGTATGTGGCCCCCTTTTCTTCCACAAATGTTTTTGACATTCATCCTAATTGTTAGGGTATTTTTTTTTTAATCCTCACCTAAGGATATGCTTTACTGTTTTTAGAGAGACGGGGAGGTGGGGAGAGGGAGAGAGAAACATCATCAGTTGCCTCCCATATGAGCTCCCACCAGGGATAGAACCCACATCCTAGGTATGTGGCCTCACTGGGAATCGAACCCACAACCTTTTGGTGAACGGGACAACGCTCTAACCAACCACCCAGCCAGGGCTAGTTCATGTTTCTGAATGAACGTGCCCGATGTGTTCATCCATTCACCTGTTGTTGGAGATTTGAGTTGTTTCTAGTTTGGAGCCTTTATAAAAGAGCCC